AAGCAGGCCATATTCAGCTTACTAAAACAGTATTAAAAGAAACGAGATGAGAATATGGGTCAAAATTCTTTTGATTGAGCAAGGGTGTAGAAAGCTCTGCATCCCACAGCCCAGAAGAGTGCTCAACCTAGTAGACCACCGTTCAAAGAAGAAATTAATACTTTTTTCTTCTTTGGTGACATTTTTCACTAAAAGGTTTTTGAATGTCCTTACAACTGTGGGTAGCACAATCCTCACAACCTGATGACATCAAATGGGATCACTTGCCTCAGGGAACATAAGCAGAAGATACCTCTTCTGAGCATGCCACATGAATCTCATCCACACGACAAACTTCAGTCATGACACGATGGGAACGCAGAAGCAGAAAGATATTGCCCTAGGAACTTCACATAAAAAATAATCAGGCATGCCCAGATTTTAATGCACTAAGCCTGTGACCACAGTTATATTAGGCATAAGCATAGGTACTCTCCTTCCAAGGAAAAGGATTTTCTAAGGATAATTCTGATACTGATAAATTCTTTCAAATCTGATAAATACTTTCACTTCAGAAACACCTGAATTTCCCTATCCTCACTCTAAATCACTGTCTACAACAAGTTCTTGACAGGTTTGAATCTGCTCCTTACAGATTCATAGACTGAAGGTTTATCTTGGACTTGGATAAGGAAGAAATTTTTTACAATGAGGGTGGTGAAACACCGGCACAGGTTGCCCAGAGAGGTGGTAGATGCCCTATCCCTGGAAACATTCAAGACCAGGTTGGACGGGGCTCTGAGCAACCTATCTAGTTGAAGATGTCCCTGCTTGTGGACCTTTAAAGGTCCCTTCCAACCCAAACCGTTCCATGATTTGAATATTGCCTTGTGGTAGGGAGGTCAAGAGCAGATTACAATGGTTCTTTCTAGCCAGAAGAGAAGATTCATGCTTTTGCCATTAGTTTAGGTACATTACCACAAGGTAAGAAAATTCCAGGTGTAGTTATCCACATCTAGCTTTCCAGAATATTGGGAGAGTTACTACAGCACTAACTGTAGTCATCAAAATGAGAAAATAAGCAATTAACACAGACTAGTTAAAAAAAGGTGCAATTTCAAAACATATTGCTTTTGCCAGACAATCTGACACGAGAAAAAGAGATCAATGTACAGGAGTATAGTCAACACTTAAGCAAGACTGATCTACTATCCATCACCTTTTTTCCACTTCAAATCTTATTCTTGACTTTTCAGAATTTAGCTAATAATGCAGCAAGCAAAGAAAACCAACATTTGTGTTTATTAAAGGAAACATAATTACACAAAGAATCTAGAAGTAGAGAGAGAATAAAATAAAAAGCAAAACTCTGCAATTGATTTTCAAGCTTCCGCTGGGTCTGTTCCATTCTACAGGCTCCAATCCCCATTCCACAATCTCAGCTTCCCTCTGCTTGCCCACACTGCCCCTTCCCCAGCACAATATGCAAAAAGCACCAACTAGTCCAAAACCAAACCAACACCAATTTCCATACATTTGGCTGGCCATTGCTAGCAGCCATCTGCCTTCAGTTAGGAGCAGAAGTTTGAACTGCTCCTCTACACAGCCCGTTTTCTGTAGATACCTTCCACAGGCCCAGAATCTAAACCCAGAATTACATCCAGGCAAGCTTTTTTCTGAGAGAAAACACACAAAAGCTAAAGTAAGATTTCACTCAGCCAAATGTAACCAAAGTATCCAACACAGCAGATTTGTGAATGCCTGCATGAGCGTACATGCAAAGGAACACAGAAAGGCAAGCTTTGTGCAAATCCTAATTGGGATTTACACTGCTCTAATGACCAAAAAAAAAAATAAAATGCTGAGCTCAATTTGAAAGCCTTTGCAATTGAGAGATGTAAGAGAGCTGAGAGCACATTTTAAGTTGAAGCCAAAGTCAAAAGTAAAACAGGAAAATCAGGTACTACGTATTCTACAATTTTTCAAGCCATTACCCACACCAAACATCAGTATTTCATTGTTTCTGCACTGAATTATAAATTGGAAATAATGACATTCCTTTAGACACACTGTTTTATGACAGATATGTAGATTAAGCAACTGACCTATGATTAAAGAGTTCATGTAAAAGTAAAGAACACATATAGGACTGTAAAGCCTCCAAAACAGCTGTAGCTGTTTATAGTTCTCTCAAACCAACCATCTGGGCTGAAGCTGTTTGTTCTAAAGACCAGCTATCCCAAAAATACTCAGAGCAGTTACAACTTTTGCTGTAGGTTGGTTAAGAAATAGTTGTATCTTCACAGCCATGTTTCAGCAACATGTAGTTTACATGGCAGGGCCATTGACTGAAATAGAGAAAACACTGAACAGCTGCCTATTCAGTCATCAGCATTCGATTTGCCAAATAAAGCAGGGTTTTTTTGCGGGGGGGAAAGACACATTGTAACATAACTTTAAACAATCCTAACACCACAAAAAGTGCAGTAGCAAGCCCAGTACTTCCTGGGGGAATAATCCGACAACATCAGTACCTTTTAGAATATTCTTCTGCAAGTTTGGGGTTTTTTCCTGTTTTGCAAGACTAGAATTAAGCCAAAAATCAGGAAAAATACTTGAAAATTATACTTCATCTTAACATGCCTTTCCTACAAATAAATATAAATGTACAACACCCCTCTGAAGCAGCTTGGATTTTTATGGGAACTCAAACGAGTGACATTAAAGGGAAAGTACATGGCAAACCACCAGGAAGAAAACTGAATAAATATAGAATGTGTCTAAATACCACACATTTCTAAGCATGCAATGAAAGATCTGGACAAACAAGCCAGAGGAAGATAAAAAGGATCAGTGCTATGCTGGGAAAGGCATACTTTTATGAAGTTGCTATCTTGGATTTATGCACAAGAATTTTTTGATCCATTTTTGACTGCCACATAATCAATTCTGAGATTTTTTTTTTTTTTAAAATAAACAGATGGAAGCAGGAAGACAACTAGACAAAGACTTAACTCAATGGCTGATGCCCTCTACTCTGCCACCTTCTTGGCCTCCTGGCAGATAAAAGCTCCCAACAAACTCCCTTGCAGTTTTTTGGGGGTCCTGTATCCTTATATGAATTACTCTCCAAGGGGCTGCAACTTCGTTACATTTTTCTTTGTTGCTCTCCAAATGCCAAAGGAGGCAGAATCGGGACACTTTAGCTTTGCTGATGCTCAGGAAAGCTCCGAGAGCCCAAGACGACAGGAATGCAACGGTTTACTGGGAAGAGAGAACAAGCACGTGGAATTACATAGACTTCCATCCCAACAACCTGCAGGTTCTGAAGTGGAACGAGGACAATTAACATACAAAACATTTATTTGTTCATCATGGACAGGCAAATAAAGAATAAGTTTCAGTAGGAAATGGCAGAATATGTAAGTCTAAGAGATAGCTTGCTTTACTCTCCTTCCTGCCCCAAGACAGTCATTCCAGGTAAGTTTCCACTGAACAGTTATCTCAGAGTGGAAAGAACAGTTACTTCAACAAAACATAAAAAAACTAACCCAGGATCTCCATAACTAAACATTCATATGTATCTGCAGCTAGCTGCTCTCTCCTCTCTTTAGAAAAGCAAACCTCAGACCACTTCACAGATGAAACCCCACAAGGTACAAACATTATTTAAAGGATCTAATACATACACTGAATTGCTCAGCAGATATATCTGACAGGAATAAAACATCACCTGGCTTTACAACCTGTGCCAATCAACTTAAAGTTACCACACAGAACCACTGCTGGTTTGGGTCTTTCCTAAAAAGTGATTAAGTCTTCCCAAGAGCTAACTGTAGCAAAGCCGGGTAGCCCTGCTCCCCTCTCCTCCTTCCCGCTGCCCAAAGAGCCCCTCTTGGCAAACACCTAAAACCATGAACACCAGCTTCAGGAAACGGAAAATGACAGAACAAAACACATTTTTCTACACAGCTGACAGTTTCACACCATGAGCCACTCCACTTGGGAGCCAGACACATGGCTGTGCTTGAACAGGGGCACAGGCCATCCCTTTCGCTAGCAGCTAGCTGTTATCTGCTATCTGACTTCTCTTATCAAATTGCATTCTTTGAAGCACCATGCAAGAGCTACTTGTGGATATAAAGTTGAAAAAAAAAAACCCAACCAGTAGAGACCTCTGTTCTCAGCATAGCTAGTTTTCAGACTACTGACTGCTTCACACATAGAAAACAAAACTGATCGTTTTGAAAACCCCACGTGTTTATTGTGAAACGCAGACACATTGCCCACCACTGAGATCAACAACCCTGCCAGATCAAAGCTGACGTGTACTGTTTTCTGGTGCACTTCAAAAATATTCCTATTGCAAAAACATTTTAAGTTGGTTTGGAATAATATAGAAGACCGTTGTCAGCACAGACACTAGGCTTCAAAAAAGCCTCCACCTTCATAGAGGTAAAAGCTTTCTCTTCATGTTATTTGATTTCCCCCCTCAAGCACCAATTTGGTTAGCTGCTTTCTAGTAACATTACCACAAAACAGTTCTGTTCTACCTTTATTTATCAAACCAGGGCCAAAATTTATCCTTCCCCCGCCCCAGTTACATCAGGCAGCCTAACAAAAGGTCACTTCTTCCTATAAATCTGACCTCACTCATATCCTTAAACCAAGACAGACACAAGAGCGTTAGGCTACGAAGTGGCACACACTGCAAAGTTTGTTGCAGATAAACTCTTCGTTAAAAATACTTCTGACCTAATACATGCAAAACCGACACAGAAGAGAAAGCACCGTAAAAGCACACACAGTAAAGAACACTTGGTGTACAAGTTTTCAAGAAAAAAAACAAACATAAAAGCTCACAAGGAAGACGAAGAGGTGAAGACAAGACGAAATCTCCCATCCTTGCTGCCTTCGGACCAAGGCCACCGCTCTCCCCGGCGCTTCTTCCCCAGGACACCGGTGAGACCAGACCCCAGACACCTTCGCCCTCCCGCACTGGAACTCACCCCCGCACTCACTCTGGGGAGGCCGCGGCGGGACGCCGCTGCCCGTCGCCGTCCGCCTCGCTCTCCTCGGCGGAGCCGCTGCTGCTGCCGGTGGCGTCCGAGTCGCAGGCGCCCTGCGTGGCGCGGAGACGGGCGGTAGCGCTGGCCGCCAGCAGCCGCAGGTCGGACCCCACGGCGGACGGGAGGCCGCC